CTCTAGAGACGCCTGATCGCTTGTATGTAAACAGCCATCGCTGGCTGTTCACATGCTTACAGTTTTCCCTCTCGTGTGCACGCTGAGTGCCGCACACGAGAAGGGGGAGGGGCAGGACGCCCTCCCGCTCCTAGCAGACGTCCATGGACGGAAGGTAGTTAAAAACAGCTACATCATCAAAAAAATGCACAATACCTGAACATCACATATATAATATCCCTCAGGGCTAGTTCACACCAAGCGCGTTCCAGGAGCAGAGCAGTTAGAGACCGGATCAAAACTGCGTCCAATGTATTCCAATGGTATTTTGGGCTCTAGTTCACACCGCGGCGTTCAGTTCCAGAACATGTAAAAAAAACTGCAGCAAGCCCTATTTTACCTGCGCTGAAACGCATGCAAACGCATCAAAAATGCATGCAAACGTACTGAAAGCCCATTTTAAACAATTTGTTTTAACAAAAACGGCCTAAACGCGGCAAAACACACTGCACTGCGTGTGCAGAAACTTTGGTCTGCATTTGGTGTGAACAAGCCCTAAGAGATTATCCCTCTTTCAGACAAATATCATAACATTTGTATCATATCGCCATAAAAAAATGTATACAACATACAGTTCTCATGCATCATTGATAGTTAAATGCCAGGACTCCCAGTGACAGGGACACAACTCCTTATTAAAGGAGAACTATGGGGTTAGGGCTTTTCCCCATAGTTCTCCTTAGGGTAACGGGAGGACACAAACTAGCGTCCTCCCGTCTCCCTAATCTCAGTATATAGGGAGCTACAGCTCGCAGTATACTGAGACGCCGCAGATGAAGCGGATCCTGACAATTATGTCTGGATCCGCCCAGCTGCGTGAGTGACAGCTGGCTCTGCCTATCTAGAGGCAGAGCCAGCTGTACCCGCCCCCTCCCCCGTCCGTTCCGCCAGTCAGCGCTGGCGGATCGGGGAGGGGGGAATCCAGCCACTCCCCTGTCACAGCAGGGGCTCATGCAAGTAATGAAACAAAGTCACAGTCACATTACTTGCATGAGCGCTTGTCACAGCATTATTAATCCTCTTAATAATAAATTAATAATAATGAACAGTTTTTAATAAAGAAGAGCTTGGAGGTGCGTCCCCACCGACCGGAGTGTGAAAGGGCACCAGCTGTATCCAGACTTTGTTTCAGAGGTCTGTGGAATAGAATAGTGCTTTTCCTTAAAGGAGAACTATGGGGTTAGGGCTTTTCCCCATAGTTCTCCTTAGGATAATAGGAGGACACAAACTAGCATCCTCCCGTCACCCAAAACTCAGTATACCGCGTACTGTATACTGAGACGCCACAGCTGAAGGGGATGCCGACAATTATGTCTGGATCCGCCCAGCTGCGTGAGTGACAGCTGGCTCTGCCTATCTAGGAGGCAGAGCCAGCTGTACCCGCCCCCTCCCCCGTCCGTTCAGCGCTGGCGGAGCGGAGAGGGGGGAATCCAGCCCTTCCCCTGTCACGGCAGAGAGCCGTGACAGGATCGAGAGGTGAACGAACACCGGTATGTGTTCGCTCACTTCCCGATCTACTGAGCCGACCTGTGACAGTTTCATTGTCACAGGTCGGCTAGAACTATGAGGTGAGTGAAAAGCACTCACCTCATAGTTCTCCTTTAAGGGTATAACACATGAGGAGAGGTGGTGGCACCTTGTTTTGAAGACACTAAGTGTGTGGATGAGGAGTGATGGTGGAAACCTCTAATTGAAGACATACACAAGACTGCACATATTGGAGCACTTTATAAGTGTTTGGATTGCACTATACATGTGAATACTTTTTTTTTAGTTAATTGCATTGCTGCAGGGTGGTATATATTGCTCTGCCAATTGAGTTAGGAATACACTGTGATTTATATCATTCATTATGCCCGGATATATGTGGTAAATTGTTTTGAGTGATTGTGGGTATTGGGAGCATGGCACCATATACACAATTTCTGTTTAAATCTTAATACATTGGGTGCACGCAGGTTGAAGTACAGTGAATCCATTTTTGGAGATTAATAGTGCATATCTGGGGACCTGCGGCAAACTGGCATCTTTTATGGGGGGCATCTTTTATGTACTATAGTGCATATCTGGGGACCTGTGACATGCCCCCAGGTATGCACTATTGCACATAAAAGATGTCCCCACAAAAGATGCCACAGGTGACCCAGGTATGCACTATTGCACATAAAAGATGCCCCCACAAAAGAATGTAGCCTAATACACTCCTCCCTCCCCCCATACACATTAAAAAAAAAAAAAAA